CAGTGAACACAACATCTTTGTTTTATTTTATGTGGTGCTGAGGCTCGAACAGACACTTCTCAGAAGTGATATACAATCTATCTACAAAACGGCAAAAAGAGAAAGAATTTTTTTTTCCCTGTTTGGTCACAGTTAATAAGGTAGAATATAATAAAGTCAGTCAATAAGGATAATGGATCAAATTAAGATTTTTCTAATAAATGCAAAGGCATCTCCAGGAAGTTAGCTTGTATAATCTTTTCAAACAAGTTTATTTCACATAATGGTGGATAATTGGAAGAGTGACTTGACTCATTGGGTAATACTAGACTTGTGTATGTACCTGTAAACTGGTTATCAGGTTCCCTTTACTTAGCATTCTAAGTGTTCTTCATTTTTACTCATTCACATGAATCTTACTGCTTTCACTCTTGCCTTCCTCTGTTGTCTGTGGGTTCTATTCTTCAAAATATGAGACAAAAATTAAGAAACAAATCGGCAGTAGGCTGCTAGTGTCATCCAATAAGAACTGAAAAGTCACTCAACTTAAAGAAATCCCGTCTCCATCAAAATCCAGTCTTTAAAAAGGTCTTAAAAAACACTTCAGGCAAATGAGCCTATCACTCAGCCTCTCAGAACAAAGATGCCTCCTTCACAGAATAAACAGTGTATCAACTATCCCTGCTGCAGCGACTTTCACAGTCTGATGGAAGTTTGTAACCAGATTTCTGAAGATCCCCAGAGGTAAGGTGGGTGCTCCTGGGGACAAAGGAATCTGGGGTGGAGGGGAGTTTCAGAGCAGAAGCACAGAAGGACCTTGGCCAAATTCATGATGACTTAGTAATCACCACCCCTAAGTTTCCAAAATTCACCTTGTAAAAATATTACTGTTTAAGCAATGTTTGAATAGTTGTTTAAACGTTTAAACAATGTTTTCCAGCGGACCTGTCTCTCAGAAGGTGTAGCTCTAGCTCCTCAGGCTCAATGGGGATCAGGGAACATAGAGTGTTAGCATGCCTTTACCCACAGTGGTGCTGGTCCAGAAGGTATGGGCACAGTGACAAAGCTCAAGTATGGAATAATGAATGGCAAAATGTCACAGAGAACAAAGTTGGCTTGGATTTTACCTTACCTTCTCAATCGTGTCCAGAAAGAGCTCTTGGGCACAAGTTCAGCTGCCCTACAGCAGGAGTCTCATCTTGGAGCCCAACACAAATGCTGTGTCCATGGTGAACGCAGAATGCTTGCAGCTGCTCAGAAGGCGCCATCACTACCCTCCAGACGCCATGCTGATCAGCACAGGCACTGACCCCAGGTGACGCCACCGAACTGTAATGCTGCCCCAGGGCATGAGTGTGCACACCCAGCACGCCTGCTGGGAGATGGGTGGGGTAATCCTGGGACCTCTGGGGCAGGGTGTGGTGGCATCTGTTTGGCCAAGGGCAATTGAGGCTGGGAGAAGGCTTTTGTGAAATACCAGCACAGTCTGGATAAAACCTAATTGATCTCAGGGTGCTCAAAAGTTGGATGGTGGCCCAGAAGCCTCCACTATCCTTTTTCCTGTGTCTTTTGATCCCAAGATCTTGGTAAAATAGAGGAAACCCGAAGGAGTGTACCAGATTCGCTTCCCAGGCTTTTTGGCAGGAGCTCACGGTATGAGGAATATTTCATTTTTAAATGGATATATAATAATGGAATCGCTTTGTTTC